TTCTTTCTTTCTTTCTTTCTTTCTTTCTTTCTTTCTTTCTTTCTTTCTCTCCCTTTCTCTTTTTCTTTCTCTCTTTCTTTCTCTTCTTTCCTCTTACTTTCTCTTTCTGTCCACTCCTCTTTCTTTCTCTCTTTCTTTCTCTCCCTTCCTCTTTCTTTCTTTCTTTTTCTTTTTTTTTGCTCCTTTCAGATTTTACCGTACAACGTTAATCCTTGGACAAAATGTCACCTCAGATCATGGAAGTAAAAGCGGCATTTAAAAAAACACAAACAAAAAAGTTTTTTCTCTTGTGTGCAGTTTTGTCTCTCTGAGCATTTGGTGGTTTTTTTTTTTTTGTCACGCTCAACTTTGCAACTGTTTTGTTCCATTTAACACAGCGGTGTGTGTGTGTGTGTGCGCAGGAATGACCGGTTGCCTCCAGGAATTCATCACTGGGCTATGAAAAATCCGCTTTGGCCTCCTTGTAGGAAGTTATATTTAGTGGCCCTTCGAAGTTACACTGGCGCTGAGAAAAAAAGGGACTTGCAACGGTTTTCCACCCTTACGACCGTTGCAGCCTCCCTATGATCGTAGGATCAGAACATTTGGACACTGAGCAATGGTTCATTTTTTGGACGGTCGCCGTGTCCCGGGGTTGTATGCTCCCCTTCTGACCAGCAGAGTCAAGGAGGGGAAAACCAGATTCATTTAACAACTGCAGTGATTCGCTTAACAACCATAGCAAGAAAAGGTCCTCAAACGGGGCAAAAGGCACTTGAGAGATGTCCCACAACAACATAAAAGTTTGGTCTCAATTGCAGTCGTAAGTGAGGGATGGCCTGCATACCCACATGCCGGTATATACCTGCACCTGTCCATATACATGTCAGCCTCTTCCCACCAAACCGCTCTGCACCTGGATGGGGACGATGAGGCTGCCCGCTAACCTGCTTCCTCTCTTTCCCCCCCCCCCCAAACCCTCTTTTCCAGGTTTCAAGTGCCCCGTTTGCTCCAAATCAGTGGCTTCTGATGAAATGGAAATGCACTTTATCATGTGTCTGAGCAAACCCCGCCTCTCCTACAACGGTGAGTTCTTCCCTGTGCGTGGCATGAGCCACAACCTGGCACGCTGGTCCAGAAAGGCCGGGCCTGGGGTGAGGCAGGGAGAGAAAGGGGCAGGAGAAGCCCCGTTTCCGCCCCCGGGCGAAGAACAACGAAGGCCGCCTTCCTTCCATTTTCCAGAAGGCGATTGTTTTGAGTCGCTGCTTCTCTGCTGGGCGCCAACTTCAATTCTTGCCCTGCCAGCCAGCACCCCCCCCCTCCTCTCCCCACCCCACCCCCCGGGCAAGACGAGCTGTCCATTGGTGGCTCCTCTGGCAGGGAGGGGAGGGGACTGCCAGCCTGGCCTTGCGCTGGACAAAGCCAGCCCTGCCCTCTGGCTGCCCTGTGCCAGGCAGAAGGATACTGAGGAGAACGGGCACGAGAGGACTCTGCTGCCATCTAGGGAGGGGCCTGGGATGCAGCAGCCCACTCTGGAAGAGTTGGGGGAGGGAAGAGCCCGGGGGCGGGTGGGGGTGAGCCGCTCCTCCTTGTGCCCGTCCTCCTCAGTATCCTTCTGCCTGGCACGGGGCAGCCAGAGGGCAGGGCTGGCTTTGTCCAGCGCAACCGCCGCCGTTGGTGTCTCAGGCAGCTGGCCAGCTCCCCGGGAGGAGGGGCCCTGGTGGGCGGGCAGGGAGATAGCTGCTCCAGCAACAGTGCCAGCCCGTGCCAGCCCTGCAGCGTGCCGTTGTCCTGCCCAGCCAGGTCGAGATAGCAGAGATGGCACCAGGCAGCCCCCCCGCCCCCCCCCAGTGGAGCCAGGGCAGCAGCGTGGCCTGGTGCTGCAAGCCAGAGCGGTCTGCCCAGCCTCCGTCGGAGGGACGGTGCCAACCGAGCCAGCTGGGATGCAGCCGGGCCTGGCTTGCTTGCTATCAGGGAGGCCCCTTTCCTCCTCCTTCTCCCCCCACTCTCAGCTCGGTGTGCGTCTGACATGCCCCTGCTTGAGGTTGTCTCGGGTCAAGCGCTGGGGGAGGGAGAAGGAGGGGCGGATCAGTGCTAGCAAACACACACACACACACCCCGCACTTAAGGTAGCAACTGAGGCCGCCTTCTTCCTCCTCCCAATTGCTATCCCCATTTCGGGCTTATTTGTGGAGCTGGCAAGCCAAGTTGGGCTTCCTTTGGGCAGGGAACAGGTGCTGCATCTGGTCTGCCCCAGGTGCATGGGGACTACCACGCCCAGCGTTCCCAGCCCCCAAGGATTTGGACCTGTCCTCTTTCCAAGCTCCGGGCATCCTTGGCAGGCGGGAGGGGCAATTTGGGCAAAGTCTGGATCCCTCATTCCAAGGGGGCAAGCTTGATTCCTAAGGGAACCCCCGGGGGAGCATCTTCCCTTGGTTGCCAATTCAGACATTAGGCCAAGGGGGAACTTAGTCCTGGGTTGGGGGGGGTCAAGTCTAAAGGGGGCCCCTGGTTTCGTTCTCCTGCATTCCTGGGGTTTTGGCGTCCTCCCAACTGTGGGTTTATCCTTTGGAAGTCTGCAATTTATCATCCTGTCCTGTCGTGTTAATCACTTCAGTGTGGTTTGTGTTGGGTTTTTTTTATTTTTAATTACCTTTACTTCGTCATTCTTGTGTCCTGCCCTGGGTCATCACAGATGTCCTGACCTGGGAGATCCTAAACGTCTCTCCCACCTGAGGTCTAGTCAAAGGGGTGTGTGGGGGCGGTGGTTGTGTGAACCCGGCTGCCCTTTTCTGACCTGGGTCACCCTGCCTTCTCTTTCTCTCCCCGCAGACGACGTGCTCACCAAGGATTCCGGCGAATGTGTCATTTGCCTAGAGGAACTTCTGCAAGGAGACACGATAGCCCGACTGCCCTGCCTCTGCATTTATCACAAGAGGTAGAGTATGAAGAGCCCCCCCCCTGCCCCCGCCCCCCCCACCAAAGAAGGGCTGGGTTGAGGGGCTGGGAAAGGACCCTCCCAAGGCTCCTGCAAGCAGCCCTTCCACAGCGTCCCTCACAGAAGCCTCTGCTCCCCTTTCCCCTCCGCAGCTGTATAGATTCCTGGTTTGAAGTCAACAGATCCTGCCCAGAGCACCCGTCAGATTGACCGCGGGATCATACCCGGACCTCTTCCCAGGTGAGGCAGCTAAATAGGAGCCAGCCGTGTGCAGCGGCAGCCAAAAAAGCCAATGCAACCCTAAGCTGCATTAACAGAGGGATACAATCGAGATCAAGCGAGGTACTCCATAAAGCCTTAGTTAAGACCACACCTAGAGTCCCGCATCCAGTTTTGGTCACCACACTATAAAAAAGATGTTGAGGCTCTAGAAAAAATACAGCAAAGAGCAACCAAGATGATGAGGGGACTAGAGGCTCAAACTTACAACAGACGGTTACGGGAACTGGGCCTGGCTAGTCTAGGGGAGCGAAGGACCAGGGGAGGCAGGAGAGCGGCCTTCTACTATCTTGGGCTGCCACAAAGCAGAGGCAGTCCAGCTGTTTTCCAAAGCACCCGAAGGCCAGACAAGGAATAATGGATGGAAACTGATCCAGGAGAGATTCAACCTGGAAATGAGGAGAAACTTTCTGACAGGGAGAACAATCAACCCGTGGAACAGAAGTTGCCTTCAGAAGTTGTGGGAGCTTCATCCCTGGAGGCTTTCAAGAAGAGATTAGACTGCCATTTGTCAGAAATGGTGTAGGGTCTTCTGCTTAGGCAGAGGGTTGGGCTAGATGACCTACAAGATCCCTTCCAACTCTGTTAATCTATAATCTATAACTTAATCTTGGTCTTGAATGTGCCCAGTGTAAAGAATCTCACTTCCTAAATAGAGTCCTCTGCTAAGTCCCAGTTTAACCTGAAGAAAAAGGCAGTCTGGACTAAGATGGCCGATTCATTCGAGGTCACGCTGGCTGAGAATTTGGAAAGTCTCTGTCCCAGTCGAGATAGGGAGTGCCCACTGAGTTTGGGAGGAAAAGGTTTTAGGGAATGGTGTGTTGCTTTTACGGGGCGGCGTTTGAAAGCAACCAAAATGTTTCGTGCAGGCAAAAATGGAAAGAAATGCCATTGCCCACATCATAAAGGAATTGGTTATTAACATATGAGAGGGGAAAACACCGTCTTTTAAACAGTTCTGCAGTGAGTGATTTGTCAGTAAGAATCGCAAACAGGAAATAAATTCTCAAAGCTAATATTTGTTTTGATTTTTTTCAAAACAAAACTAAGTAAGCGAAGTCCTTGAGCCAGCCTTCAGGGAAAAAAGGATGAAACCGGTTTGCCATTCCGTGTCTTCCCAGATTATCTTTTGAATTCCTGGTATGGCCCTGGTGGTTTCCCGACCAAGCTCAAATCAGTTTTGACAGCTGAGCTTTTGAGACCATTAGGGACGGCCTAACACTGCTGTGCAGCCAGGACTTCTGAACTAAACCTTGCCCGAGTTCCCGTTTGATTCAGATGTTCTCATAAACCTTGAGACGTATTTCAACGAACCAAAATAGAAGGATTCTCCCTTGGGCCGAGTGATGCATTGTTTAATAAAAGTGTTTCTGAAACAGGATGTTTTCCAGGTTCATTCATTTCGGTGCAAGACCGTTGCCCTATCTGTTCTCATGGCATGAGCCCATTTATCTTTGCAATCCCCATAGGATTTATCCTTCTAGTATAGGGTTGAGTGGATTTTTTTTTTGTGTGTGCTTCTGTGAGGACATTCTCCCCCTGCTGATTGAAATACCTCCTGGCTTTTAATCTAATTTTACACAGCTTTTTGTGTCTCCCAGGAGGGTGGGGTGGGAGAACGTCTACTCAGCCCAGGAATTTGAGGAAGATCATAGTTGAAGGCCACTTGTAGGAAGATGTATGAAAGACTAGCTCGATACCCGTGCTTCGCTATGAAACTGTATGGTCGGGCTTAGTTTTTGGGGAGGAAAATAAGGGGGGGAAAAAAATCTGCCTCTGCCTGCCAGCATCGATCTGGCTAGCGTCCAAGTGTGTGAGAGTTGAGGGCTGTTTGGAAACTGAAACAGTATTTGCTGTTTGAGAAAGACAGCAAGGAGTCTGGGCGTGGCTTAGCTCAACTGTTCTGTACTAAAGCTGCTTGGTGCTATGAAACTAAAACTGAAACTCCTCTCCTCTGCTTGCGTTTTGCATTTGGAACAGATTGCTTTTCAGGTGGGGGGGGGAGTAGAACTCCTTAGCATCAGAGCGTAATAATAATAATAATAATAATAATAATAATAATAATAATAATAATAATAATATAGGGAATACTCTAAATGCTCTGATGGTCATTTTGAAAAATCCTTTTTTAGTGAGCCCCTAGAAGCCAAGAGGAACACATGTGCCAAATTTCAAGTTTGTAGGCTTTACGGTTTCTGGAGATTTTGTGAGGATGCGTGAGTGGCATTTCGCTTTTATATAGATTTATGACTTATGAAAGACCATAAGTCAAAGACCACTTGTAGAAGATTTAGGGTTGCGTTTCTCAAACTCTGTTGAGATAGTGGAGTTGGACTAGTAGACCTTCAAGGTCCCTTCCCTTGAGAACTTTAAGATGTATGGGCTTCAACTCCCAAAATTGCCAATCCAACATGCTGGCTGGGGCATTCTGGGAGTTGAAGTCTGTGCATCTTAAAAAGTTGTCCAGATGGGGGAAACATGGATATAGGGAAAGGTGACTTTGTTGCTGGTGGGAAACAGTTGGGACTCAAAATCCTTTTCATGTCAGTGATCGACCAAGATCTGCCTTTGACCACCCGAAGATCCTTGCAGGACCAGTTGGAAAGCCTGCCCTGCTCTGGTCAGCGTGTTTGCATAGTGGCCAGCTGAGCGCCAGTCAAAAACCTCCAATTCATCCTTCCCTGGATCTTTTTGGAAAAGGCAAATTTCCCAGGGGTGGAGAGGGGAGTCAAGAAACCCTGCAAGAAGCAGTGATGTTTATGGTTAGCGTCCTCTTCTTTATCGTCTGCTAATAATTAACCAGTGGAACAACTTGCCTTCAGAAGTTGTGGGTATTCCATTACTGGAGGTTTTTAAGAAGAGACTAGACCAGTGGTAGCTAACCTTTTTGGCCTCCTGCGCCAAAAATTGTGCACACGCTTGCGCATGCGCACTCGCGTGCCAGCACCCAGAAGGCAATGTGTGAGCTTCCCCCACGCCCCTTGCGCATGCACGAGCAATCCCCCCTGCAAACCTCTTACCTGCACTGCTCCTCCCAGCTGATTTTTGGCCCGTTTGAGGCCTTTTTCGGCCTCCCAAAGGCTTGAAGGAAAACTTCTGCAGCCTTTGCAGGCTGAAAAATGGGCCCCTTTCGTCACTTCCGGTATTTCTGGAAATACAGGAAGAGATGAAATGGGCTTATTTTTCGGCCTGCAAAGGCTTTCCTCAAGCCTCTGGGAGGCCAAAAAAGGCCTCAAACAGGCTGAAAATCAACTATGAGGCGCGCGCATGCACAGTGAGGTAAGTTTGCCTGCAGCTCACCTGCCGGCGCAAATCGCTCTGCATGCCACCTGTGGCATGCGTGCCATAGGTTCGCCATCACGGGACTAGACAGCCAGTTCTCTGAAATGGTATGAGGTCTCCTGTTTTAGCAGCGGGCCGGACTAGAAGGACGTCCAAGGTCCCTTCCAGCTCTATTCCGAATTTGAATGTGGCTGGGGGAATTCTGGGAGTTGAAGTCCACATGTCTTCAAGTTGCTGGGAACCGCTTGCTCCAGATTACGCTGGAACTACGCTAGAAGCAACCTGGAATTGAGGAGAACCTGGCTAACAGGGAGGACAATTAACCAGTGGAAAAGACTTTCCTTGCAGAAGTTGTGGGTTTTCCATCCCTGGAGGTTTTTTAAAGAAGAGACTGGACAGGCACTTGTCTGAAATGGTAGAGGGTCTCCTGCCTGAGCAAGGGGCTGGACTAGAAGACCTCCAAGGTTCTTTCCAGCACTGTTATTCTTTTATTTCTTGAAAGACATAGAAATGAAACACATTGGCTTCTTTGCATAGAAGTTTTTTTGTGGGGGGGCTTTTCAGTACCAATGTTTTTTTTTTCTCTCTCTCTCTCAACAGGTCATCTCACCATCCATCCTTCTTACACACACACACACACACACGCACACACACACACTCCCAACTTCTTCCAAACCAGCTCTGGGACATCCCTGCAGCCTGGGCGTTTAGTGTTCAGTTCTGGACTTCAGAGGCAGAGAAGACAAGCGAGGCCATACCTGGAGAACCCTCCTCCAGTCCGGGCAGGGGGATGAAGAAGAGGGCCCGGGGCAGGAGCCAGTGGCCACCGGGGCCCCCTACCCCACCCCACAGCAACGCCATGATGTTCCTTTGGGCTAGAGCCGGCCAAGAGCGAAACGGAGCACGACGCACGTCGGTGCCATTCAAGGACTCTTCCTTCCTGCCCACACACAGGTCCCCTTTTTGCACGGGGAGGGGAAAAAAAAGGGGGGGTAGTTTACCCGTCCCTTTTTATTTTCTTGGAACAGCAAGGCCATTTCCCCACCCCACCCGCCTTCTTCCTTCGCCCCTCCTCCCAGTCCTGAGGAGGAAGAGAAGGAGAAGAATCAGGCGTTTTCTGTGGCATTTTTCGGACGGCGGTGTTAAGTTTGTCCTTTCAAATGTTTACAAAAACAGCAACGTGGCATCAACCAACGTGCCAAGGTGATGTTTATAAGGCTGCATTCTCGGGCAGGCGGGGAGCAGAACTCCCAAGACCTTTTTCTCCCCCCACCCCTGAATTGCCAAAAATCCTTTTACTCTTTCTTCCTCCTCTTCCTCGTCCACCCCGACCTCCTCTTCCACCTCGACCTCCGTGCTGGCTTCAGGGGCTGTCCTCTTTTGCAAACCTCCTGCAGCAACAAGACCTGAGCGGGGGGTTTTTTCCCAGCCCTCTGTGGAACGCAGGACTGGCCTTTTTCTTAAAGCGACACACACACAGAGGACGCAACACACCCACCCGCCAACACCCACCCACCCACCCCTCCTGCCCTGCCAGTCCACCAATGGAGCACGAAGCGATGCCTGGCTGAGCCACAGGGTTTGCGGGTGGGGTGGGGAAAACCTCCGATGGACGGTTTTGATCCGCAGGAAAAAAGTATCTGTATTTATATAGGAAAAAAAATGAAAAAAAGAAAACAAACTTTAAAAATTACAAAAAAGGAGAAAAAAAAACAAAAATCAAAGCTTGGGAAGGCAAGCTTCCCCTATTAGTCAAGTGTTTTGATATGGTATTCAATAATGCTCAATAAAATAGTCACTGTTATTTTATTTCCAGGTATTCTCCTTTGTCTGGTGTGGATTTGGGATGTGAGGGGTGGGACTGAGCATTTGGTGCGTTTACCACACTTCTTTTTAAACTTGGACATGTGAGTCCCTGGAAGTGGACAGGTATCGGGGGTGTAGCAATGTTTGTGAGCAATGCTCTGGTTAAGCCGCAATCTGAAAACAGGGTTTATATTAAAAAAGAAAAGAAAAGAAAATTATCTGTAATGAAATTGCGGCAGGATTTAAATTACTACAGATTGCCCGTTTTAAAAATATAAACAATATCTCCACGGCCAATTGGAGACATGGATAAAGGCTCTCCAGAAAAAGAATAACATCGTAGCACAACAAAACTGGAGTTGTACCCAGCCTAATTTCTGGCTAACCACCTTACCTATTCCTACAGAAACAGCCATTTGGGAAAGCAAAACTTCCTCAGTTTGCCTCATCCGAATTTCCCAAATTCTTGGACATTCCAAGTTTGACCCATAAATGCCGGGACCATCCGAGTGTTGTTTTCCCTGCCCTCAATTCACAGCTTTTCTCAAAGTTCTGCCTCTTGATTTAAAAGGACCAAACTTTTCCAGCCACCAGTACAGCGATGGCTTCGCATACGTGACAAGGAGCATCTCTTTTTCACCTGGATGTATATTCTGGATTTGGATGGCCTGCAATATTGTGGGTGCCTGCTGAGTGGATTACATTGCCAACAGGTTGAAATTCTGCAAGATAGGGTTTTCTTAAAATAACTGGATGAAGAAACTTCAATAACCTTCACCATGCTGGTGGCCCTCCCTGATAGCTAAAAATGCAAAAGAGCTGCAAACTCTGGTAATAAAAGGAGCACAGTGGGGAAAAAAGGGCGACCAAAATTGAATATAAAGACTAATGACAACAGATGTAACAATCAGAATAAGAACTCTGATTATATTAAGAATGTTATAACAATTGTTAAATGAGATATTGGTTAAGTGAGTTTTACCCCATATTTACAATCTTTCTTTGCCACATTTGTAAAGTTGAATTGCTGCAATTGGTAAGTTAGTAACCTGGTTCAGTGAATGTGATTTCCCCATTGCTTGTCAAAAGGTTGCAAAAGGTGATCACATGACTTGGGATGCGGCAACGGCCATAAGTGTGAACCACTTGCCCAAGCATCTGGATTTTAATCATATGATCATGGGGATGCTACAAAGGTGGTAACTCTGAAAATTAGTCATGTCACCTTTTTCAGTGCCGTTATAACTGAATGGTCAAAGAACTTAGACTTATATACTGCTTCATATTATTTTACAGCCCTCTCTAAGCAGTTTACAGAGTCAGCCTCTTGCCCCCAACAGTCTGGATCTTCATTTTACCAACCTCGGAAGGATGGAAGGCTGAGTCAACCTTGAGCCTGGTGGGATTCGAACTGCCAAACTGCAGGCAGCCGGCAGCAGCAGGAGCCTGCAGTACTTCATTCTAACCGCTGCGCCACAGAGGCTCTAACTATATTTTTATCTCCATTGCTTTGAATTCTTCAAAATTCTTATAATTATTTTTATTATAATTACCTATCTATCGCCTATCTTTGTAATAATAATAATTAAAAAATAAGAATTATAATAAGCATTTCAGATGATGGAGAACCTCTGCCTTTTTGAAGCGAGCATCAACTGCAAAGGAACAAGCACTCAAGAAATGGCACTTGGTAGAGGTGCCAGGAAGGCCTTGGAGAAGAAACTCAGGTGCTGTGTTGCGTCCATACCTACAAAGACCTGAATCCTGCAAGCCACTGTCCTGTATTCCCTGTGAGAGTTTGCCGAAGTGATACTTGAACCTTGAAGAAGGATAGGAAGAAAAAGTATTGACCCATTTGGGGGCTGGAGGACAACTCCTGAGAATACCATGGACAGCCAAGAAAATTAAAGTGACAGACCATCAAACAAACCCAGAGTTGTCAAGGAAAGGACCACCAAAGCAAGGTGGATAAACTTAGTTATTGCAGCAGTGGACACGATGCCTAGCTCTGGTCTAGAGTTGCCTATATGATGCCGTGGTCTGAACAGCAGGATCGAATTAAAAGATGAAGGAAGGAGACCATCAAGCAAGGAATAATAACAAGATTATTAAAAAGAGATTGGACAACCGTTTGTCTGAAATGATACAGGGCTTCCTGCTAGAGTAGGGGGTTGGACTAGAAGACCTCTTAAGGTCCCTTCCAACTCTGTCATTGTGTTAATATCAAAGGAGGATCTGGCTGAAGGATCTGACCTCCCTTATACTACTTGGAGGATCCTGAATAGGTTAAGAGTTGCAGTGCTTAAGTGTAAAAGGCACTGCAGTGCAGATAACAATACACTGTGTGAATGCAGAGACGCAGGGCCCAGCCCACCTGCTGGTATGTCAGCTACTACCAGAAACGTGTACTGATAATGGCTTATTTTTGGCCAACGGCTAAGCCAAACAGGTGGCTTCATCCTGGCGGTTTAAAGCCTGATCCAGACACAGAAGCAGCAGCAGCAGCAGCAAAGATTCTGCATGTTCCCCCATGATTGAGTCCTGCATTAATCCAGTAGGAAAAATCTGGGTTCATCCTGCTTCAATTCACCGCAGTTTTGACAAAGCAAGATAAAGATCCCAAGAGGTGGATCTAAGTAAACCGAAAAGCTGGGGAAAACATGGAATTCTGCTTCCAGGCTCATCCAACAGAAACACGCTCAGCCTGTTGCTGCCAACTGTGTATAAGCTAGATTTGCCCCGAAGGCAAAGAAGAAATAAAGAGATTAGAAGTACTTCAAATGAATGTTCTGCAACCTCCAGTTTCGGTGAAATACATTAAATCGGCCCTGAAGCATCTACAGAAAGGTTTGTGTGTGGCCATGACAAAGATAGTGTTGCTTTTTGTATGTGTGTTGTGACATCTCACAGATACACTAAAGGAGTGGAATTGGTGCTGTATTGCCACAATGGATTGGTTCCAACAGATGCCTCTGCAGTTTCCAAATTTTTGAGACTCCCAATGTGTGGACTTCAATTCCCAGAATTCTCCATTATGAGCATGCTGGCTGAGGAATTCTGGGAATTGATACCCCCGAGTTGGAAAATGTGGCGTTACTTCCCAGCCTGGTTCAAAAGGCCAACCTCTGACCTTGAATTACGCCTGAGCATTTCCGTATTATGTGAATAAACACAAATGACTGCAGATCTTGCCATACAAGCACACAGCATTAATTTTAATATAGATTTGTAAGACAAATTCAGACAATTGCCAAGTTCTTTATGCTTACTGTTCTTATCAGGCATGGCTGCCAATGCTGGATCACCTTTTTCAATTGTAAAAATCCAAAGAGAACTGACAGGTGGGTGTGGTGTTTAAGGCAATGTATCCTGTTGACTTTAAGATGCATGGACTTCAACTCCCAGAATTCCCCAGCCAGCCATGCTGGGAGTTGGAAGTCCATGCATCTTAAAGCATGTTGACTGGAGAATTCTGGGAGTCGAAGTCCATGCATCTTAAAGCATGTTGACTGGAGAATTCTGGGAGTTGAAGTTCACACATCTTAAAACAAGGGTCTTCAAACTTGGCAACTTTAAGACTTGTGGACTTCAACTCTCAGAATTCTCCAGTCAACATGACTGGAGGAGGAATTCTGGGAATTGAAGTCCACAAGTCTTAAAACATGCCAACTGGGGAATTCAGGGAAGTTCACGCATGTTAAAGCATGCTGGCTGAAGAATTCTGGGACCTGAAGTCCACGCGCCTTAGAGTTGCCAAGGTTGGGGAACACAGGTGCACAGAGTTTTCAGGTTTTGCTAAACCATTGTGCCACTTACTTGGCTTTTGAGTTATCACGTCTTGTGAACTGGTTTATTCAGCAGAACAGAATTAAACACAGTTTAGTACGATACAGAACCCAGCCCACCGATGAGGCGAAGACCCTGCTGGGGAGAGGAGATCCAAGCAAGGAAAGCAAATTCAGGAGCCCCTCCCAGCCAAGGCCCTCCGGAGGTTAGAGCACCTTGCCGGGGTTCATGAGGTTTTTGGGATCCAAGGCCATCTTGATCTGCCGCATGGTGGAGAGGGCCACTTCCCCAACTTCCTCGCGCAAAAGCTGACGCTTGCCCAGGCCGATGCCATGCTCCCCCGTGCAGGTGCCACCCACTGCCAAGGCTCTCCTGGAGAAAAGGGCAAAAGAGATCAGAATGGACACCCCAAATCTCACTTCCAAGGTCAGGGAAATAAAGGCACTGGACATTTTTTCCCCTCTCTCCACTCTCCCCGTATCTATCTAGCTATCTATCTATCTATCATCTATCTATCTATCTCTATCTCAGAGGTCTCCAAACTTGGCAACTTTAAGACTGGTGGACTTCAATTCCCAGAATTCTCCAGCCAGCTATGCTGGAAGTTGAAGTCCACAATTCTGGGAGTTGAAGTCCAGAAGTCTTAAAAGTTGTCTGTCTGTCTGTCTGTCTGTCTGTCTGTCTGTCTGTCTGTCTATCTATCTATCTATCTATCTATCTATCTATCCATCCATCTATCTATCTCATCTATCACCTACCTATCTATCTAATCATCTATATCATTATCTACCTATCTTCTCTAATCTATCATCTAATTTCTCTTCCCTCTCTTTCTTCTTTTTTATTTCCTGCCTTTCCCTTTTTCTTTTTTTCTTTCTTTCCCTCTCTCTCCCTCCCTTCCTTCTTGAATTTATCCGTTTCCTTATGAGACTCGTAGGGGAACGCATGAAGTGTCTTCAGCCAGAAGATGCTTTATGCCTAAAATCTTGAGCGCAGGGATAAAGGAATATCAAGCGGGATTTGGAGAAGATACATGCAAGCTGCTAAGGACTCTTTGAGGAAAGATGACTCGGCCTCAAGACAAAGGCGGGAGTGAGAACGGAAGTCGGAAGAGCCCATGTTTGTTGGCCTAAGAGGAGCTGGGAGCACCTTTGAAAACGGACATACTACCCCTTCCAAGCAGACATGGTAGCAGAGGTGGTATTCAGCCGGTTCTGACCAGTTCTGGAGAACCGGTAGCGGAGATTTTGAGTAGTTTGGAGAACCGGCCAATCCCACCTCTGACTGGCCCCGCCAACCCCATCTCTTCTCTGCCTCCCACTGAGTCCCAGCTGATTGGCTGGGTCTCCTTTGGTTGACATGCACAGGTGAACGGAGCTGGAAAGCAGGTTGGTGGAGTGGGAAGGGAATGGGATTTTGCAGTAATTTTCCCCTGCCACGCCCACCAAGCCACACCCACCAAGCCACGCCCACAGAACCAGTAGTAAAACTTTCTGGATCCCGCCACTGCATGGTAGGAATTTCATTAATGTCCCTTTATTATAACAAGGTAGAATAACAGAAGCTTGAAAGCTGGACAAGGTTTCTTACCATCTTCTATTAAACAAACTCAAGGCAGATTGTTTTGAGTTTCTCACCCTTCTCTCTTTTTCCGTACTGGAGAATCAAAGCCCCCTCCCAAGGTTTTTTTTTCCCCCCGAATTCCTTGTCACTTGTGCCTTCTCCCAACATGGACCCAGAAGGCCACGGCCCACCTTTTCTGTTGTCCAGCTTGTGTGGGCAAGGGCCCTTCCGTGCTCCCCCACAAAAGGCTTCCCTCCCCCACCCCGAGCCCCCGGCCTACCTGCCCAGGCGTTTGGCAAAGTCAGCCACCCTCTCCTTTTCCTCAGCGTCTTCAGGGTCAAGAATCAGCAGGCAGTGAAAGTTGCCGTCCCCAACATGGCCGACAAGAGGACCTGGAGTCAGGAAAGGGACAGCACCCCTCGTTCCAAGCTTCCTTTAACATTTATTGATTTATTTATTGATCTATCTGTCTATCTATCTATCTATCATCTATCTATCATCTATCTATCTATCTGATTTGTCAATTCCTGTTCCGACCCAGGCCTCGTTCAAAGCAAACAAACACCAAACAGAGATAAAAGGAAAACCTTTTTAATGCTTCTCTGTTAATTCCATTAATTCACGGTTAAAAGGCTATTAAAACTAATTGTCCCCGATAAGAACGAGCCTTGCCAAGGCTGTGCAAGGCTGCCAAGAACACTAGATTAAATTGCAAGGAAATAATCAAAACCAAAAGTCTCCACACACAAACCAGGATAGTCTGAACTTCCACAAAACTTGAAGTGCAAGAACTTCTTTGCTTCCTGCAAAGAATCCCAGCTCTGAGGGCTGGCTTTTATCCCTTATGGGAGGGGCCATCACTTTGCAGCCTTACTCCCAAGTCGCCCGTGTTGCTGCAGCTGCTCTTTCCTTCGAGCAGCCCTGCGCGCACACGCACTGGGAACAGGCTCCTCGGGGACCTCTTCCTCAGTGCTGCCAGCCTCCACAATCCCCAAAGGCAGCGCTCCACTCCCCGATGATCCTGGCCCCATCCCTGCATCACATGCAGGCCCCTCATCTGAGTCCTCACTCTCCAAGACCTGAGCCGTCCGCAACTGCTGCCACTGAACCACAACAATTGCTTACAAGAGAATAGGTATAAGAATAAACATGAGTATGAATACAGGAAATAGGTACAAATAAATGGGGTCAATAGGACAGGGACTGTAGGCACGATGGTGCGCTTATGCACGCCCCTTATGTTCTTTAGGATTACAGCCCCCATCGTTTTGCAAATACTTCTCATCTGGAAGACACCCAACCACTCATTCTACCGGACTAGAACTGGCCAGCTGAGCTAAGATTTCGGGCAGTCCTCGAGATATGACATCAATGAAGCCTGCCCTACATGGTCTTAAGTTGTAAAAGCCATAAAGCTGATTTTAACCAGTGTGGTTTTTGGGGGGGTGGGGGGGTTGGTGACAGTCAGATGTGTGAATGCCATTTCTACTTGGAAAACTCTTCTGGACTTTGTGCTTGAGAGACGGGGAAAAAATGAAACTTTGATTTGGGGATTTACCAATTAGATAAATTTGTTGTTGGCTGCTAGTTAATATGATTATTGTAAAAGTAAAAAGCTGAGGTTTGAGGTTCATGCCTTATTCTACTGCACCAAAAGGAGCTGGAAGTCAATGCTTTTTTCTCCCTTTTCTTTCCCTCCCTTTTCCTTTCCCCTTTTCTGTCCCTATTTTCCCCACTATTTACTTTTCTATTTTCTTTATATGCTATATTATAAACAAATAAAAAAAAACCTATTCTTTTAAAAAGAAGTGTGAATACCATGGTCATTTGCCGAAAATCAGAAATGTGGCTTGTCAGAACTTCAGATCTGGATTGTAAGTCTTATTTTTTTCAGTTAGGTCACAACTTTGAATAGTTTGAAAACAACTGGTCCTAAACAGAGGACTATCTGAAATCAGAGAGTTAATTCCAGATGATTTTTTCTGGCCATAATGAGGCTCAACCAGTCCACCTTCCAAATGAAGCTCTCACTATCCGGGATGGAATAGTTTTCTGCTTCAGTTTCGTATTATCCCATCCAGGTTTAGCCACAATACCATTTATTTGTTTGGAGAAAACTTGTTAATGTGCAGCTGACTTTTGTTTATGTGCAACTGGCTTTAGAGCGGAGTATGTTGCGCAAACCCCGCTTCTGTTAATTATTTCTTTAAATGACACCATCCGAGAATGACTTCTATGCAGCCCAAGATTAATATGTTTGTTTTAAACTTGCCTTCATTTAAGTCAGAGTTGGGGAACTGTGGCCCCCTTTATGACTTGTAGACTTCAACGCCCAGAATTCCTGGCTGGCTGGCTGGCTCAGGAATTCTGGGAGTTGAAGTCCTCAAGTCGTAAAAGGGCCATAGTTTTCCACCTGATTTAAGTGAAAGAAAGGTAATTTGCTTTAGAATGTTTTTTTTCAAAGCAAAAGGTAATTTGGTTGCAGTTCCCCCAAGTTGGAGAGCTTTGTGGTTGAGATGTCTGTAAGAATTCTGCCTTTCACTGCACAAATATCTGCTCAGCTGTTTGTCATCTCTCCCACATTTCCAAGGATTGGATATATGAAAAGGAATTTCTCCTAGTGGCTTTTTAGAATTCAGAAATGCAAGCAGCCAAGATGGTGACAAACAGTGGAAAAATACCCCAAAACAGCAGCCCAATAGAAGTCTTACTTTCCTTAAGCTCAATGTAGACTCTTATTGGACAAATATTTAACTGATTAACAGAGGGATACAATCAAGATCAAGGGAGGTTCTAATTCCACTCTATAAAGCCTTAGTAAGACCACACCTAGAGTACTACTACATCCAGTTTTGGTCACCACACTCTAAAAAGATGTTGAGACTCTAGAAAGTGTGCAGAGAAGAGCAACCAGGATGATTAGGGGACTGGAGACTAAAACATACAATGAACGGTTGCAGGAACTGGGCCTGGCTAGTCTAGGGAAGAGAAGGACCAGGGGGGACAGGATAGCAGTCTTCCAATACTTGAGGGGCTGCCTCCAAAAAGAGGAGGGGGTCAAGCTATTTTCCAAGTCACCCAAAGGCCAGACAATGGATGGAAACTGATCAAGGAGAGATTCAACCTGGAAATAAGGAGAAACTTTCTGACAGTGAGAACAATCAACCCGTGGAACAGAAGTTGCCTTCAGAAGTTGTGGGAGCTTCACCATTGGAGGCTTTCAAGAAGAGACTGGACGGCCATCTGTCAAATGGTGTAGGTGGGAGGTTGGACTGGATGACCTACAAGGTCCCTTCCAACTTTGTTAATCTGTATCTGATCATCAGAAACAAGCAGGGCAAATGATGCAAAGACCCCCACACCGTAGCCTCTGTTTCCTGTGTTGTGACACATCTACAAAAGGGATGGCACAATGTCCCTTCCATCATTTGGAGGAAAACACTTCATCCCATGGATCAGCCATTGGTCCCACAGTTGTTGGGGGCCCAAGGGACTGGCCAATTCCCCCATCTCCTGGGCTGGACCACCAAACAGCCTTGTGACTAAGGTGTCCAACCCACGTTCAGCTCACCTGTAAGGTTGGAATCCAGCAAGTCTTTCTTGGTTTCCAGCAGGACCTCAGGAAGGCATGAGAGAGGGACGCACACATCTGTGGAGTAGCCCTGTGGGAAGGGAAGCGTCAACTCATAAAATATTTCTTTGGTCTTTTTAGAATTGCCAAGAGAAAGGGAGGGGGGAGCAGTGCGGCAGCTTGCAAACCGAAACTGCATTCCATAAATGTTTTCAAAGATAGTAACTAGCTGCGCAAAAATCTAACTGGAGAGCATGATTAATGATTCCTGGTTACGGCTGTGTCTCATTGGAGAATATGAATTACGATACACCCAAGGGGTGGGGGAAAACCAGGGTCAAGGGTGACAATGAATGATGTGCCTCAGGGTCGGCTACACCCAGGCAGTGCCGGACATTTTAACTCCCAATAAATCCTTTTGAATTTTTGGAAGTTTGGCTCGAGACTCAGGATTTAATTGGGAGGAACTGCTGGAATCCTGACAGCAGGAAGGGTAAAAGGTTGCCTTAGAGTGGTGTTTCTGACCCTCAGCCGCTTGAAGGTGTGTGGACTTCCACTCCCAGAATTCCCCAGCCTGCAGCACACACCTTCAAGCGGCTGAGGGTCAGAAACACTGCTATAGACCCACATCAGCAACCAGTTTCGAAATTCAGAACTGGGTGTCAACCCTGAAGTGAACGTGGCTGAGACCATCCTGGAGGTTTCCGGGTTGCCACACAGCAGAAGAAAGAGAAGGGAGGGTGTGGAAATAGCTAGATGGGGTTTTGTAGCCCAAACAAGGGAAGTTTTCCTGTGGGAACCAAGGACATTCCGAACAGGTGGCTGGTTAGGGGAGGAGTGAAGTAACCAGGCAACTAGCCAGTACTTTGATTGGACAGGGTGGCCGGTGACTTGGGAGGGAAAGGGAAACGTTTACTTTTTAATTGGGCGAAAGCCGCGGGAAATTCCAGAATTGGCGTTCACCAGTTTGTGCCAATAGGATGCATCCAACGAACTGTTCTTTGAGGAATTTGCCTGCCTAGAAGTTTTGCTTTCTATGGATGCATTACTTGGAAAGTTGACATTGGGATCAAGGAAAGTGCAGATGCAGATAATTAAGAGTCGGAAGGGATCTTGTAGGTCATCTAGTCCAACCCCCTGGCTAAGCAGGAGACCCTACACCATTTCTGACAAATGGCAGTCCAATCTCTTCTTGAAAGCCTCCTATGGTGATGACGCTCCCATGACGTCTGAGGGCAATCTGTTCCACTGATCACTCTAGATCGCTCAGAAAAGTGAGCCAAACTGCAAAGTAGGGAGGTGGGGTTGTTCTTTCAAAATAACCTGGCTTCCCCCCATCTCACCTTTTTGCCAGGACGAAGAGCCAAAGCCGCATACCAAGCATTGTGCCGAGCTGCCCACAGCCGTCCACGGGCTTCCGGTTCCCGGGCCCACGCAAAGTCCGAGCCCCCGTTGGACTGCACAATCACCTCTGAAGAGGGAGACTTGCATTTAATGCCCCTTCCGCCACCAAGGTCCTATTGATCTGACTTATAAGGCGATTCAACCCTGGTCTACTGAATCATACAAGTCCTTGACTTACAACCATTTCGTTTAGTGACCGTTCAAAGTTACAATGGCACTGAAAAAAGTGACTTGTGCCCTTTATGGCTGTTATGACTACTGCAGAATCCCCATGGTTACATGGTCAAAATTGATCATAAACTGTTTCAACTCCTTCCCTCAAAACGATGCTATAGAGCCCTGCACACCAGAACAACTAGACACAAGGACAGTTTTTTTCCCCAACACCATCACTCTGCTAAACAAATAATTCCCTCAACACAGTGGTAGGATTCAAAAAAATTTAATACCAGTTCTGTGGGCATGGCCATGTGATTGGGTTGGCGTGGCTTTTTGGGGGGTAGCAAGCACCCCCCTTCTCATTTTATGGGCCTTTTTGGCCTCAGGGGAGCCTCTAGGGGGGTGATTTTGCTCCTAGGAAGCTTCTCTAAGGCCCAGGAAAGCAAAAAATGGAGGGGGGGGCTCCATTTTTTGCCTTCCTGGGCCTCAGGGAAGCCTCCTGGGTGAAGCAGTAAGCAAGCGAGGGGAAACCCGGCACAGTGGTTCGTAGGAACAGCTGATTGTCGGGAAGTAAAAAAAAAACCTGGGCTGGCGAGCATCGGGCAGGCAGTGCAAGCGAGGGAATGACGACTGGGTTGGGAGCGTGGCCAGCCAGAAATTACTACCGGTTTGGCGACCCACACCAAATCCTTGCTACCGGTTCAACTGAACCAGTGCGAACCGGCTGAATACCACCACTACCTCAACACTGTCCAACTATTTACAAAGTCTGCATTGCTGTTACTATTAATCTTCTCCTCACTCCTTATCGCCCATCCCCTCCCACTTGTGACTGTATGACTGTAACTTTGTCGCTTGTATCCTTAGGATTTATATGGACTGTTTCCTAGTATGATTTGATGGCTTATTTGTACCCTATGACTATCATTAAGTGTTGTACCTGATGATTCTGGACTCTTGACGAATGTATCTTTTATGTACACTGAGAGCATTTGCACCAAGACAAATTCCTTGTGTGTCCAATCACACTCAGCCAATAAAGAATTCTATTCTATTCTATTCTATTCTATTCTATTCTATTCTATTCTATTCTATTCTATTCTAACAACCTCAGTGATTCTTGATTCTTGACTCTTGACGAATGTATCTTTTCTTTTATGGACACTGAGAGCATCTGCACCAAGACAAATTCCTTCTGGGTCCAACCACACTTGGCTAATAAAGAATTCTATTCTGTTCTGTTCCATTCCATTCCATTCCATTCCATTCCATTCCATTCCAACAACCTCAGTGATTCTTGATTCTTGATTCTTGACTCTTGACGAATGTATCTTTTCTTTTGTGGACACAGAGAGCATTTGCATCAAGACAAATTCCTTGTGTGTCCAACCACAGTTGGTCAATAAAGAATTCTATAACTATTCTAGGCAAATGGTGTAGGGTCTCCTACTTGAGAAGGGGGTTGGACTAGAAGACCTCCAAGGACCCTTCCAGCTTTATTCTGAATAATCGATCCAATCACTCCAGTTGTTAAATTAGTAACTTCCCTCCTTTTACTTCTCAGAAGGCCATAGAAGGTGGCTTTTATGGCTCCTCTTTACAATGGTTATGACATGCACAGGAGATCATATGATCATCTTTTACAACTTCTGATAAGCAAAGTCAGGCGGGAAGTGAAATTCACTTCATGATCAAGTTACTAACTTAACAACAGCAGCGATTCAATCAATCATTCAGAATAGAGCTGGAAGGGAACCTTGGAGATCTTCTAGTCCACCCCCCCTGCTCAAGCAGGAGAACCTATACCATTTCAGACAAGTCGCTCTCTAGACTCTTAAAAAACCTCCAGTGATGGATCACACAAAACTTCCAAAGGCAACCCGTTCCACTGGTTATTTATTCCCATTGTCAAGATTGTTAATTAACTTTTACTTAATTGTTTTCACTGCTAGGATTCACTTAACAACTGTGCCAATAAAGGTCATAAAATGGGACAAAACGGTCACTTAATATCTGTCTTGCTCAGTAACGGAAATTTGGGGCTCAATTGAGGGTATAAATCGAGGACTACATATACAGGACCACCTATGAGCGGTGCGGTGGCCTAAAGGTGGAGATCTCGCCTCACAATCAGAAGGCTGCGAGTTTGATCCTAGGCAGATATTTCCCTCTCTGGGCCCAATGAGAATATATCTGTTGAACAAAACTCCGCATTGGCGACAGGAAGGGCAACCGGCCAGTAAACACTCTTCTAGCTCCATTCGGGTGAGCAGACTCCACCCGGCAAGGGATGATAGGTTTGTTAAAAGAAGATGATATGCAGGACCACCTATACAGAAGCATCTGGATCCAGGCACTGCCAAGCCCTACGCAGAGCTGAATTCGCACACCTCGCTAAGCCTACACCAATCTAAGAGGACAGTTTTATGCGCTGTCGAAACCTCGGTCCGGCCATAAGCCCCCTCCCCTCCCAGGCCCCGATACGTGGGACGTACCTGTGGCTCCTACTTGCTCCTCCACGCTCTGCTGAGTGCCGTGGAACTCCAGGAAGAGGGTGGGCAGTTCTGCATAGCTCAGGCCGCTGTAGCGGTTACAAGCACTCATCATCACCTCATCCAGGAACTCTGCGGGGTGGTGGGGGGGTGCATTAGTGGGATTCCAAAAAATTTACTACCAGTTCTGTGGGTGTGGCTTGGTGGGTGTGGTGTTGTTTGATGGGCGTGGCAGAGGAAGGATATACTGCAAAATCCACATTCCCTCCCCACCCCACTAACCTGCTTTCCAGCTCGGTTCTCCTGTGCAGGGCAACAAAACAAAACCCAGCCAATCAGCTGGGACTCAATGGGAGGCAGAGAAGAGATGGGGTTGGCGGGGCCAGTCAGAGGTGGGATTGGCCGGTTCTCCGAACTACTCAAAATGTCCACTACCGGTTCTCCAGAACTGGTCAGAACCTGCTGAATCCCACCTCTGAAGGATTTCTAGCTTTGTAGCTGAGGACGCTCAAGGCCGTAAGTGAGATGCACACATTGCATTGCTACTTGAATGTAAAGACCACAAAAACCCAGAATGGACAAATTACAGAAATTGGGATTAAAAAAAAATTAAGGGTGGACATGGATATTGCAAAATCCCCAGTCCCTCCTCACCCCACTAACCTGCTTTCCAGCTCCGTTCTCCTGTGCAGGGCAACAAAAGAAGACCCCGCGGATCAGTTGGGACTCCGGAGACTAGATGGGGGCGGGGCCAGTCAGAGGTGGGATTGGCCGGTTCTCTGAACTACTCAAAATTTCCACTACCGGTTCTCTAGAATTGGTCAGAACTGGCTGAATCCCACCTCTGAAAGGTGGCTCCAAAATAGGAGAGGGCCCAGCCAACCTGGCTTAACAAAGACCGACAGCCAATTGTTGAACTGCACGCTACGGGTAATCCTCGATTTACGAGGATAATCCAAACAGATTATTGTTCCATACCTAAAGGCACAAACTAAAGCAGACTACTAAGCCACATTAAGCATCTACTCTGGGGTCTGTTAGGAAGGAGGCGTCTTCACCCTCTTTCTCTCACATAATTATCTGAACTGAGTTGTCTCTTACTTTTCTGGGAAAAGTAAGGGGAATGCACCCCCTCTGCCCTGGGGACCCAGGATTAACCGTGATCTATTCCAGTTGCAAACAAATGGTTGTGCAGGGAACAGTCCAGGAAGTCAAGATGGCATCTATGACCAGCCTCAACCCCATAGCAGCCAACTGGACTTCTGACCCCACCCAGCAGACCCCCATAGCTTGTAGAATGAAAGGCAAGCCCTCAGACACAGGACCCTCTTCCTCCATAACTGCACCACAGTCCCACCTGAATGCAAATTCTCTTTCCTCAAACAATATGAATGGAAATCTTGCGTCTCCTCTCTGTCCAGATCCGTGGTGGCACAGTGGTTAGAATGCAGCATTGTGGGCTGATTCTGCCCACTGCCAGGAGTTCGATCCTGACCGGCTCAAGCCTTCCATCCTTCCGAGGTTGGTAAACTCACTACCCAGATTGTTGGGGGCAAGAGGCTGACTCTGTAAACCGCTTAGAGAGGGTTGGAAAGAACCATGAAGCGGTATATAAGTCGAAGTGCTATTGCTATTGCCCTTCCTTCCTTCTTTCCTTCCTTCCTTCCTTCCTTCCTTCCTTCCTTCCTTCCTTCCTTCCTCCTTCCTTCCTTCCTTCCTTCCTTCCTTCCTTCCTTCCTTCCTTCCATTAGAATGCAGTATTGTAGGCAAACTGCCACTGCCAGCAGTTTGATCCTCACAGGCTCAAGGTTGACTCAGCCTTCCATCCTTCCAAGGTTGATAAAATGAGGCCCCAGATTGTTGGGAGAGAGAGGCTGACTCAATAAATTGCTTAGAGGGGGCTGAAAAGCACTGTGAAGCAGTATATAAGTCTAAGGGCTATTGCTATTTGGCCATCCATCCATCCATCACGCGCAGTGGTCAGAATGCAGTATGGCAGGTAAACTCTGCCCACCGCCAGGAGTTCGATCCTGACTGGCTCAAGGTTGACTCAGCCTTCCATCCTTCAGAAGTCAGTAAAATGAGGACCCAGATTGTTGGGGGCAAGAGGCTGACTCTGTAAACTGCTAAGAGAAGGTTGTAAAGCACTGGAAAGTGGTATATAAGTCTAAGTCCTGCTGTTGCTGTTCCTCTGCCTCCTCACTCGCAGTTCCCCTTCCCCACAAACATCTGGGGTCCTACTCACCAATGCGGGCAATGGGGAGCCCGGCTTGGAGAACCTGCACGGTGCTGTCCACGGCTGCTTGGATGTTGGGGAAAGCACAGATGGCCGCCACGGTGGCCTCAGGAATACCATGGAGCCTCAGCGTGGCCTGGGTGATAAACCCCAGGGTCCCCTCCGAGCCCACAAACAGCCCCGTTAAGTGGTACCCAGCAGCGCTCTTCCTGCAGAGGAAGGAAGAACCTGGTGAGGTCCGAGAACCCAACCCAGGAGAACCCCCTTCCATGCATTTAGCATTTCCATTGGCGAGAGACCCCTGGCTGGCTGGCCACAACTCACACAGCTTTGCTGATCTCCAAAAGGGAAACGGGGCTAATGTCAACTCATAAAATATTTCTCTGGTCTTTTTAGAGTTGCCAACAGAAAGGGAAGGGGAAGTAGGTGCAGCGGCTTTCAAAACCAAAAGTGCATTCCATAAATGTTTTCAAAGATAGTAACTAGGTGACCAAAGTTTCTGCTGAGCAAAATTCTAACTGGAGAGCCTGATGGATGATTCTTGGCTATGGATGTGTCCCATTGGAGAATATGAATTACGATACACCCAGGCAGAGCTGGACATGTTAACTCCCAATAAATCCTTTTGAAGTTTTGGAAGTTTGGCTCAAGACTCGTGATTTAAATGGGGTTAAGTGCCGGAATCCTGACAGCTAAATCTGATAGACATGCATGGAAAAGGCCAGGAAAATAGCCAACCTCTTCCGTGTCACAGCCAAGAAAATGGCAGTGTGTGTGTGTGTGTGTGTGTGTCTGTGTGTGTGTGTAACTGGGTAACCAGACCTGCTCTGTAAATATCCAGAAGAACAGCAGATGGCAGCCAGAAGATACCAACAACTCAAGAGTAATTTGTTCCCAAAGGTGCTTTTTTCCAAAGGCAACTGGACTTTGTTTTTGCTTGAAGAGCTTTCGCTTTCTCATCCAAGAAGCTTCTTCAGTTCTGGGAAGACCTGGGAGAACTGAAGAAGCTTCTTGGATGAGAAAGCAAAAACTCTTCAAGGAAAAAAAGAAAGAGAGTCCATTTGCATTTTGAAAGTGCTGGCTTTGAAGACTAGAACTCAGAATCTCCTGGTTCCTAGACTGTCACCTTAAATCTTATCCAAACTGGCTTAAGCAAACTGCAGTGTGCTTGCTGCCAGTGGGGAAGACCTGCACCTCTGAAGGGCACCACACAAGGGGCACCTTTAAAAGACGTGAGCCCAACCTCAAATGGAAACCTCTACTGTGAGAGTTCCCTGCCTGCCACCCCACCCAGCTGAGACCCAAAAGGGAAGAGAGAGGTAGGTGAGGGGATACCTGGGCCGCCGGCTCTGCCCGGCTGTGTGCAGGACTCTCCCATCTGGCAGGACCACCTGTAAGTTGAGGACATTCTGGCGCATGGTGCCATAGCGCACTGCATTCGTCCCGGAGGCTGCAGTGGCCACCATGCCACAGAGCGAGGCGTCGGCCCCGGGATCTGAGGAGGAAGGGAATGGCAAAGGGAGAGGTGAACCACATCCCAACAATTGCAAGAGCCTTAGGCCAATTTTTAGGCCAAGATCAAGGGACATAACTAATACAACTCTGTAAAGCCTTAGTACTGCATCCAGTTTTGGTCACCACACTATAAAAAAGATGTTGAGACTCTAGAAAGAGTGCAGAGAAGAGCAACTAGGAGCATTAGGGGACTGGAGGCTAAAACATATGAAGAATGGTTGCAGGAACTGGGCATGGCTAGTCTAGGGAAGAGAAGGACCAGGGGAGACAGGATAGCCGTCTTTCAATATTTGAGGGGCTGCTACAGAGAGGAGGAGGAAGGGGTCAAGTTATTTTCCAAGGCACCTGAAGGCCGGACAAGGAATAATGGATGGAAACTGAACAAGGAGAGATTTAACCTGGAAATAAGGAAGAATTTTCTGTGAGAACAATCAACCCATGGAACAGGAGTTGCCTTTGGGAGTTGTGGGAGCTTCATCATCCCTGGAGGCTTTCAAGAAGAGACTGGACGGCCATCTGTCAGAAATGGTGTAGGGTTTCCCGCTTGGGTAGTGGGTTGGACTTGATGACCTACAAGGTCCCTTCCAACTCTGTGTAATCCATATAAGACTGGGGAGGTGACCATCAGAACTCCAGAACTGAGTCGTAAGTACCCCTGGGGAGGCACGTCATGACTTCATTAAGCCACTGGTTGTAACTACCTGTCCTCCGTCAGCATCTCCATCGCCTGCTCTGGACATTTTTGCTAAGGGCATAGCGCACAGCCTCTTCTAAATGAGTGAAAAGCATCAGGCAAACTGTTTCATTTGGAGATCAGCTCTGGCTCACCCGATTTTATTTAGGGGGGCATCTCAGAGGGCACTTTAAAAGAAGGCCAACCATCCTCCAAACTGTGGGCCGAGCCAGGGTAAAAAAAACTTAAATGCATCTTGCATTAATTTATCTTTTCTATTACAGAGTGTGAATGTAAATAAATGACTGCTCAAAATCACTTCCATCCTTTTATCTTTCCCTTCAGAGTCAACAATTACAGTTTGAGGGCAATGCTTAGAGGGTTCTCAGGGGCTCCACCAGGACATGTGTCCACTCATAAAATATTTCTCTGGTCTTTTTAGAGTTGCCAACAGAAAGGGAGGGGGGGGGAGCAGTGTAGCAGCTTGCAAAACCTAAAGTGCATTCCATAAATGTTTTCAAAGATAGTGACGGAAGTTTCTGCATTGCAAACATCTAACTGGAGAGCATGATTGATGACTCTTGGCTATGGATGTGTCCCATTGGAGAATAGGAATTATGATACACCCAGGGGGTGGAGGGAAACCAGGGTCCAGGGTGACAATGAATGATGTGCCTCAGAGTTGGCTACACCCAGGCAGTGCTGGACAGTTTGACTTTCAATAAATCTTTTTTTAAGTTTTGGAAGTTTGGCTCGAGACTCAGGATTTAAACGGGGGGAACTGCCGGAATCCTGACAACATGGAAGTGTGGCTTTGCACACACCCACAAGAGCATCCATGGAAGTGTAGGTTTGCTCACACACACACACACACACGTTTTGGCCGTTATCTGGCCATTTTTGACCTTTCCTCCAGAGGTTCTGCCTGAGCCTCACCTGGAGCACCTGGACAGGTATATCGACACAGCCCCTCCCAAATTTGCTAGGAGATTCCCCCCCCCCCCCAACCTTGGTCCACTGATTACCCCCCCACCTGTCTCCAAGCTGCCGTACCGACAGGGAACCAGAGGCCACTCTCTCGCAAGTATTTGTTCAGTGTCTTGCGCGTCACTCCTGCCTCCACAGCAACTGTGAAATCTTCAGGGTTAAGCTCAGAAATTTGGTCCATTTTCATCATGTTGACACACACCCCTCCCTGGGAGAAAACACAGGCAGGGTTCACACAACTCCAAGACCCAGATTACAAAGATGCAGCTGATATTAGCAATAGCAATAACACTTAAGACTTCTATGCCCGCCCCATAGCCCTTTACGGCACTATATATGCAAATAATGTAAGCATTATTTGCATATTTCCTCCCACAGTCTGGGTCCTCCTTTTACCAACCTTAGAAGGATGGAAAGCGGAGAATGCCGGTGGCAAGACAAGGATGAACAGAGGTGCAGAAGCTCGTCTGTGGTTTCAGTTAATCTCTTTTTGCAGTTGGTGCGATCCTTTGAGGGTGCACGAGTCCTGGAGAGATTCGTGCCGGCGTGGGGGAGACTCGGGTAGTAGTGTGGGGAAGACAACCCCCCTGCAGCGAAGAGGAGCCCTCCAGAGCCCAACGAGCAAGAAACAGCCTCCTATCAATGGCGGCTCCGAAGTCCGGACTGCCACCGATGTAAAGAAGCGAGTGAGTGACAGTTTGTGAGATCATTGGGGAAGAGTGTGGCAGAGAAAATTAGCGGCGGAGAGGAGGATTGGAATGCCATAGACTTTTATAAGGCTGTTACAAGCGTCTGTCCGGAGCCCTAAAAGAAAGCGGCCAAAAAGCGGATGCAAGGCAAGTGAAAGTGAAAGGGCTTGGCAGACAGAAGAAAGAGATAGGACAATAACAAGTAAAAAGGGAAGTTTATGAGGTTGGGAGACTAGCGGCTGGAGGGTGCCTGGAAGTTGTGGAGGATTTGGACTATCTCATTTGATTTTTATTCTGGAAGACTTTATTAAAGCGGAGACGGGAAGAAGATCGGAGCTGACGGAACAGAGACAGTGTGGCGCCACAGGCGTTATTTAGAAACCCTATATTGTAACAATATAACTGATATAAACCACTTAACAGCCCTTTAGGGAGCATAATGATCTAATTGAGGTGGTGGTTCCATCTAAGAAATCAGGAAAATTGAACTTAGGAACGCTAAGACAAAAAGTTATTTCGTTAACGCTCCTACAAATTCCTACTCTAGGCTGCAGGCATGGAATCTCCTGGTGGTGTCCACTCCACGTTTCTCTCAGCTCGGACTGTCTTACTGACAGTCAACTACCAATGGCCATCCAGCTGGGGAGAATATGCTGCACCCAAAGCCTTAAAACCCCACTGAGATTTACTGCAATAGTCTCGTTCATACTGCATGATACAACAACGATCGCGTCTCACGTCAATGTAAGTTAGGAAAACCCACCTACAATTCCAAATTGGGGAGGAGGGCAGATACTGGAGTCTCCCATAGACCTTCTTAGTTCCCAGCTAAGCTGTTCTTTTCCTAATTAAGGTGGCTCACCCAGCTACAGGCTGAACTTGGCAGGGCCACTGAGCAGGAGGGGAAACCAAGGGTGCAAAAGGGAAGTTGGTTATCAGGCTGACGGAGACCGACCCCCTCCCCTTATTCGTCTCCCTTTCTAGAAGTGGGGCTTGGATCTGGCTCTCCCTCCTTGTGGGTCAGCCTTTCAGTGTCTGGGGAAACTCTGGATTCTGGACTAGGATCCCGTGCCATTCGAGCCTGGTTCAGCCAACACACCAAATCCTAATGTGGTCTGAGGTAGCCCAGGCGCTCGCCACTGACAAACCAAGTTTTAAGGCCTGCAGGATGGTGCATGTAACTCATCCAAGAAGGAGCCACCGCTTGGTGTCAAGTGTGCAAGCCGTCCACACGGTGCTTTAGTCTATAGTCCATAAAGAGGAGGAGGTCAGTTTGTTCTCCAAAGCATCAACGGGCAAGGACAAGAAACAACGAATGGAAACTAATCCAGGAGAGAAGCAACCTGGAATTAAGGAGAAACTTCCTAACAGGGAGGACAATTAACCAGTGGAACAACTTGCCACTAGAAGTTGTAGGTGCTCCATCACTGGAGGTTTTTAAGAAGAGACTGGGCAGCCATTTGTATGAAACGGTGTAGTAGGGTCTCCTGCTTGAACAGTGGGTTACTCTAGATGACCTCCAAGGTCCCTTCCAACTCTGTTAATATAATATAATCTAAATGCCAAAGTCCCTTCCAGACTCTATTTTGAATTAAAATTGATCCATGCCATCCCAGCTCGCCAACCAAAGCTCAGAAGTCCCAAAGATGCTTTTTTTTCAAGAGGCAACTGGAGTTTCTGGGTTGGTTTTTTTTTTTTTGGAAGACGTTTCGCTTCTCATCCAAGAAGCTTTCTCCATTCCTCACCACCCAGTCAGAGCTGAAGAAGCTTCTTGGATGAGAAGCGAAATGCCTTCAAAGAAAAACAACAAACTCCAATTGCCTCTGGACAACCCTGACCTGGAGGACTGAGAGCCTCCATAGATAAGCTCAGAAGGTCCCACCAATCAACCCTGAAGAAACCACATTGACTTGAAAAATGTAGACCAAAAAATACAAAAATCTCAGTTATTGTGTCATTGTATATACACGTTTCCTGTTTTGTGACTATACATTATTTTTATCCTTATTCTTCACCCATTCATTCCACCTCTCTCATGTCGCATAATATTTTCGATCTTTTTTGCCTTTCAGTTCCAAAGTGAATTTTATCTAGTTGATCACAGTCCATTATATTTTTAATCAGAACTTCATCTGGTGGTATTTTATCACTTTTCCAATGTTGTGCTAAAGTGATTCTTGCTGAAGTTAAGATGTCTACAATAAGGTATCTTTTATCTTTACTCAAATTCCCTTTAATCATACCTAATAAAAAAGTTTCGGGTTCCAATTTTAATTTATATTTTGTAATCTCAAAAAGCCATCTCTGTATTTTCTTCCAGTATTTTCTGACCTCTATACATTGCCACCACATGTGGAAAAATGTTCCTTTCTTTTGTTTGCACTTCCAGCATTCTGGTTTCAAGGTTGGATACATTTTCACCCGTCGTGCCAGCACTAAGTGCCATCTACAAAACATGTATTTTTTGTATTTTTTTTAAAAAATAAAAATATATTTTAAAAAAATAAAAATAAAAAATAAAAATATAGACCAAGCAGAGTTGGCAGATCCAGGCCCTGAGATCCAGCTGAACTAGAGCAACTCCCAGTTAAGACTCAGGCCAGATCCTATGCAGGATTAAGCCCCAAGAGCAGGGGCTTAATCCTGCATAGGATTCCAGAATTCTGGAAATTGAAGTCCACAAGTCTTAAAATTTGCCAAATTTGGAGACCTCTGCCCAAGAGCCTCTGCAGAGACCAAGCCAGCCTCTGCTCTACCTGGCTGCAGTTCCTCCAGTTCTTACCTGCACGGCGGTGACCCCTCCTTCCAGCCCTGTCCCCGTCCCAAAGGGGATGACAGGAACCCCTCGGCTGTAGCACGTCGCTGCCAGCAGGCTGACCTGCTCCACAGTCCGGGGCCAGGCCACGGCATCTGGGGGGCAGTTCCTAGGAGGGAGGGACATAGCAAGCCTCTTTACAGGGTCGTTCTAGACTTACGACCAAAATTTTATGTTAAAGCAAGAGGTTTTTACGATTTTTCTTGCCACCGTTGTTAAGTGAATCACTTGCAGTCGTTAAATTAGTAACATGGCCGTTAAGTGAATCTGTCTTCCCCATTGACTTCATAGAACATCATAGAATAACAAAGTTGGAAGGGACCTTGGAGGTCATCTAGTCCCTGCAAATATTAGCCTCTACCTGGGATCGAACTCACAGCTCCTGATTGTGAGGCGAGAGCTCCACCTCTAGGCCACCACAAACTTTGTCAGAAGGTAGCAAAAGGTGATCCTGTGTGACCCCCCCGGGAAAATTGCAACCGTCATAAATATGAGTCAGTTGCCAACCGTCTGAATTTTTGTCACGTTGACTATGGAAATGCTACAACGGTCATAAAGTGTGAAAAGCCATCATAAGCCATGAGCCTTGGTGGCGCAGCGATGAGAGTGCAGTACTGCAGGCTCCTTCTACTGACTGCCGGCTGCCTGCAATTTGGGAGATTGAATCCAACCAGGCTGAATGTTGACTCAGCCTTCCATCCTTCCAAGGTGGGTAAAACGAGGACCCAGATTGTTGGGGGCAACAGGCTGACTCTGTAAACGGCTAAGAGAGGGCTGGAAAGCAGTATATAAGCCTAAGTGCTATTGCTCTCTCTCTCTCTCTCTCTCTCTCTCTCTCTCTATCTGTCCATCTGTCTGTCTCTCTCTCTATTTATTCATCCATTCATCCATCCATCCGTCCAATCTATCTCTATATCTATCTAAGAGCCGTGGTGGCGTAGTGGTTAAGAATGCAGTATTGCAGGCGAACTCAATCCCCTGCCAGGAGTTCAATCCTGACCAGCACAAGGTTGACTCAGCCTCCCATCCTTCCGAAGTGGGTAAAATGAGGACCCAGATTGTTGGGGGCAAGAGGCTGAGAGAGGACTATAAAGCACTGTGAAGCGGTATATAAGTCTAACTGCTGTTGCTAAGTGCTATAAATCACTTTTTTTACTGCCATTGTAACTTCAAATGGTCATTAAATGACCTGTTGTAAATCAAGGATTACCTGTGCATTGGTGGGATTCAATTTTTACCACCAGTTCTGTGGGTGTGGCTTGGTAGGTGTGGTGTGGCTTGGTGGGCATGGCAGGGGAAGGATACTGTAAAATCCCCCTTCCCTCCCCACCCCACTAACCTGCTTTCCAGCTCCGTTCTCCTGTGAAGGGCAACCAAAGGAGACCCAGCCGATCAGCCGGGACTCCATGGGAGGCAGAGAAGAGATGAGGTTGGCGGGTCAGGTGGCTTTGGCCGGTTCTCTGAACTACTCAAAATTTCCACTACTGGTTCTCCAGAACTGGTCAGAACCTGCTGAATCCCACCTCTGCACCTGTGCAAAGGAGGCTGGGAGCACCTTAGCCGACTAGCACCTTTTAATAAATATAATTAATAACTTTTAAAAATGCTTTTGCAAACAGCCAGCCCAGCTCTGCCCCCACCACAGATGATGCAAAACCCTTTTGGGGGACAGAGCAACAATTCTTCCAACATACAATTTGGGCTTTGAAAAGACTGTGAGAGATCGGGAGACCTCACTTACTGAATGCCTTGTTTAGTGACTATTCCAAGTATAGTTCTCTGAGCAATTCTCACAATTCTGACCCCGTGGCAATGCAATCATCATTTGCGTGTTTCACAACAGGCATCCGACAAAGTGAATCAAAGAAGAAGCTGGTGATAAAATTATAAGTTGTGGACATGTGATGGCTCACTTAATGATCAGAGTGACTTGCTTAATAACTGAAGTGGAAGTGAGGTCATACGTATTATTGCGGTCATATGCTTAGTGACCACAGCACTTAGCAAGAGAATTGCAATTGCGGTCGCAATTGCGGTCGCTAACTGGGGATTACCTATATCCATTTTTTTATTCCAAGCCTTATCACAGCAAATATAGCAATAGCACTTAGATTTATATACCGCTTCACAGTGCTTTTCCAGCCCTCTCTAAGCAGTTTACGGAGTCAGCCTCTTGCCCCCAACAATCTGGGTCCTCATTTTGCCCACCTCAGAAGGAGGGAAGGTTGAGTCAACCTTGAGCCAGTGAGAATCGATCTCAGGGCAGTGGGCAGAGTTAGCCTGCAATGCTGCATTCTAACCACTGTGCATCATGGATGGATGGATGGATGGATGGAAGGAAAGAAAGAGGGAAGGGCAATAGCAATAGACTTATATATTGCTTCACAGTGCTTTTCCAGCCCTCTCTAAGCAGTTTACAGAGTCAGCCTATTGTCCCCAACAATCTGGGTCCTCATTTTATGGGACGGAAGGCTGAGCTAACCTTGAGCCACTGAGAATCCAACTGCTGGCAGTGGGCAGAATTAGCCTGCAATACTGCATTCTAACCACTGCACACCATGGATGGATGGATGGATGGATGGATGGATGGAAGGAAGGAAGGAAGGAAGGAAGGAAGGAAGGAAGGGAGGGAGGGAGGGAGGGAGGGAGGGAGGGAGGGAGGACGGGAAATAGCAATAGCACTTAGACTTCATTGCTTCACACCACTTTATAGCGCTCTCTAAGCTGTTTATAAACTCTGTAGTCAGCCTATTGTCCCCCAACCATCTGGGGCCTCATTTTACCCACCTCTGAAGGATGGAAGGCTGAGTCAGCCTTGAGCCTGGTGAGATTCGAAATTGCAGGCAGGTGGCAGTCAGCAGAAGTCGCCTGCAGTACTGCACTCTCACCACTGAGCCACCGTGGCTCAAATATAGCCTCCAATCATTTCAAAAGTTTGGGATTTCCCATTTCCTCAACATCCACGAAGGACCAAGGAGGAGACACCCGATCTATCACTTACCACTTCGTTGTGGGCATGCACTGAGAGCTTACACACTGCAGACAAATTGTGTGTCCAATCACACTTGGGCCAGTAAAGAACATTCCTCTTCCAGATGAGGAGAAAGAGGACAGAAGCCTCCAAGGAGCATCGTGAGGCTCTCAGAGGCCTGAAAATGTTCTGGCGACAGGCGCGTTGTAGGAAAGACATACCTGTGCATAGATTCGTCCTGCCCATGTTGCTCACGGACGACGGTGGCTGTGGACACATTGGGGGCCCCCACAATTGCTCTGAGGGAGTTGAGGAAGTCCTCTGTCAGCCACTCCTGGGGGAGGAAAGGAGGCCACGTGGAGATGACGACAGAAGATGGAGGCCAGAATTCCTTCACGGCTGTCTCAACGGGAGCAGTGGCCAGTCCACATTATAGGATTCCCCATGGGCACCCCCTTCCCAGCCATGGGTTCAGCAGATCCACTAACTTCTTCATCCTTTCCTTTCTTTCTGTTTGCACCCATTTCCGCGAGGCACTAAAACAGACCCCAACCAATGGGAATTAAACATTCCTAACAGTGAGGACAATTAGCCAGTGGAACGGTTTGCCACCAGAAGTTGTGGGCGCTTCATCACTGGAGGCTTTTAAGAAGAAACTGCGCTGCCACTTGTCTGAAATGGTAGAGGTTCTCCTGCTGGAGCAGGGGGTTGGACTAGAAGACCTCCAAAGTCCCTTCCAGCTCTATTCCTGTTCAGTTTTCTATTCTATTCTATTCTATTCTATTCTATTCTATTCTATTCTATT